CCCCAAAACCCCAAAACCCCAAAACCCCTTTAGTCATTTTTATAATTTAAAAATAAATGAACAAACTTCTAAAAGACTACACTGAAGTAGAAGAAATAGTGGACAACGGCTTCCAGTCCCAAGTCTCAGCTAAACTCTCTAGCTGTAACGGACTAGTTGACAACCAAATGTAAGCCTGGCTGGGGCCAGAAGCCGGTTTCGGAACCACTGACTGTTTTGGTATAGACGGATTAACAAGAACACAGTTAAGTTAGACATGCATAAGAGAAACCAGAAGAGAAGAGTTATTAGGAAGATGAAATAAAATTGAGGAAATGAAGAGTATAGGTGGTTGATTATTATAGTGAAATTTAAGGAAAATAGTTACCTGTATGATAATTCAAGAACGCTTAATTATGGCTTAAATTTTCATAAGGAGCTTGTAAGGGGTAAATAGAAAGGTTATGCTGTAGAACAAGTCAGGCAAATGAAGTTGGAAATGGAAGAAAATGAACAAAGACGACAACAAAGTAATATTTTTAGTTTAAAATTTTAGGAGAGCAAAAAGAGGAACAGGAAGAAAATCCAAGAGTCAAGCTCTTTGAAGATGATTCTGTTAAGTCTCTGGGTGAGATGTTTAATGGTATTTCATCGACTACATACATAGATCATCAGACTACTATTACTCACAATCAGCATTCAAAGTCTCCAAGCATGCACAAAACTCCACATAAACTGTTTTACAAAGAAGAAATTACCAAAAATGACTTCACATATTTCCCAAAGTATGTCTCAATATAACATGATTAATTTTACTTAAAATCAAGCTGTCAGCGCATCATTCCAATTGGCAAAATAAAGAATTAGGAATATCTCCCCTGGTTCTTTCTTACATAGGTTAGATTAAGAATCTAAACTCTCTTAACCAATTAACGAACTAAAAATTATAATTCAGAACATAATTTAGGTACAAATCTGCACAAGTTGTCAGAATATGAATTAGAATGGCTATCTTAAACAATAGCTCATGATATCTCTAATAGTTAGGCTTCCTTGTGTTCCAACATAGTTCACGATTTATTTATGTGAGAATATAAAACTTCTGAGTCCCAAAAATGAGCAGGTTTGGATAAAGAATTAGACAATTCAGTCAAGTTTAGAACTTCTAGCTTCGCCATAGAAAGTCATGAACTACTTAATAGCTGCTCAATTTAACTCAGATTTCTTATTTTTGCTATTTAGAACTCAATAGCTCCTAATAAATATGTGAGAGTGTTAAACTTTTGGTATTAATCATAATTCTATTCTAACGTATATATTAGATTCACAGCAATAGATCCTAAAATAAGGGATGTAAAGTTCTACAAGACCACAGTCATCCCGAAGGTTAGGAACGAAAAGCCCACAACTTGTGAAAAATATCAAAACAGACTAAGTAAGCCTCACTAGGGTTATTGTCTATAGAATTGTTCAAATCAAAAAAATAATGTTAAAGCTCAGCAGAAAGCTAACTTATCCAGAGAGTAAATTTATGAAATATTAATGATTCCTGTGTCTAAATATGGCATGAGCCCTTAATCTTCTGAGGATGTTTATCTTACTCAAAGCTTTATCTCTGAGATATGTCAAAAAGATAACAATAAGCCTGGACACAAAGGGCTAAACATTCTCTCTCTTTGAATCAAATCAACAGTAGTATTTTAAACCTCGATTAACTATTGGCACAAGTTGTATTAACTACCTTTAGGAAGACCTCGGCAGAAGTCCATAAGAAGAAGAAGGATAGGTTAAGTCTATCCAAGCCTAAATTTACTGAGAATTTTGCCAACCCAACTTATCTTGGTATTGTAAAAATCTTTAGACTCTAGCTCCAGAGAAGGGTTTGATAGGGACAATTAGACATCGTGATACAGTTAAAGGAAGGAATAAGCCTAAAGAGAAAGGTAACTTAAAGATTACAGTAGGATCTAATCTTCTTAGTAGCAAAATCCTTTATTGAAAACCCAAAAGACAGAATTGATAGAAAATGTAGCAGATTCACACATGGATTTAATTTAGAAGTTGATGTAGATGGTAAGGAGTATTGATAAAAATAGTTAAATCTCCTGAAAATTTGGACAGATTCGAGCCTTGGAATGAATTGAAATCAGAGACATTAGATAACTCTACCAACGCTAACACTCAAAGAAAGATTAGATGTATGATAAACTACAGTAGAGATACCTCTAGAAGGCCTCTGTTTTCTCAATTCAATAAAAGTCCAGAATTTTATTCTCCTGAAATTAAAAGTAATTTACCAAAATAAAAAAATAGCTATTCCAAAGTACGGTACTTTCTGAACCAGAACTGTGGGAGAATGTATAAAACAGAAATTGGAGAAGAGACATCTTGACAAAAGAATGTCCCTTGTCTCCAACACCAAGACTTCTAGGAGGAGGAATTACACTGTAATAGATAGGCTGCTGACTACCTCTGAATACTTCCTCGAATGCTTGAGTAAAGATAAGAACATACGTGTCTAAATCCTCAATCCTGCTTAATGATCTTGGGGTTTTGGGGTTTTGGGGTTTTGGGG